AAGAGGGAGCTCAAAGGTGTTTACCTATATTTCCCTAATAAAACTGAACTGAAAAACTGAACTGAACACTTCGACAGCGTCCACTATATGCCCCAGAGCAAGATTTATCGGGGAAGTTTGCTTGCGCGTGAATTAGATTACAGTGAAAATAGACTTGAAGTTCACCTCCCACACTCGGAGGTTGGAGACGGTGTAGGTGGCTGGCGCGTTCGAAGCTGCCTCCAATCGTGCCACTACACCTGCCTCGGCTCCTACGGAGTAGGTGTGCCATAAAGGTCACATAAAGGAGGAGCCATTGCAGCCTGCCTCTCAGACTACCAACCAGTCACTCCATATAAACACACACAGGGTTGTCTGCGACCTATGAGTGCATTTTTTTTATTTGGAAACCCTCCAAACCATGACACTCAGCGCACTTTGATAGTCTCAGGCATGGATGGCACACATAAAACAGAGGAGTCCCACAAAGGAGCCGAGGACTATACGGATCTATCACGTGAGAGGTGCCGTTTGCAAGTGTATTCTGTGTGCGGATGGTCGTAGCTATGTGTGATGAGGAAAAAGATGTGGTAAGGCGATATAGCTGGCGGTTCTCTATCGCCGATTTTCAAGGAGCGCATGTGGCCTTATAGACCCATGTGATGTGTGACTCTACGTGGACAGTGTGCACAATTGAGGCAGGTGTATGCTAGTGCTTCTTGCACTCTGTACGATGAATCCGCAAGTGACCAAACAGGCCAGCAATGCTATCTGCCTAAAGCTACTCGCCGCTACGGCTGCTGTCAGGGCCCTCTAAATGAGCCCTAAGGCAGAGCGGGACAAGTGAGTTTCATTGGTACTCGGTGAACATTCATCAAAGAAACCTGTGTTAACCTACGTCTGACAGGCACCGGCTAAGAAGCCTAAAATTGTCACCTCATATTGGTGCGGCACTCTTCGTGGAAACTCTAGGTGTGATCAACTTCGTCTTCTGCGGTACGAAGATCGTTTAGCTTACTGACTCCCTTGGCGTGTCGTTAAAATGTCACATGGCCAAAGGTAGTCAAATACTTACTAGGTACTGTTCTATTATCAGATTACCAAGTACGAGGGTAT